TAATTAATTTTGTTTTCCATTCTCTCTCGCAAGTAATTAATATTATTAAGAGACGTATAGGTTTTTTAAATCCTTTTGCAAATGGATTACGGGAATTTAAAAAATCAAAAATTTCATCAATAGCTCTAAGAAATTCCACAGTAGGTTCACACTTATTAAATCCACCAACCTCAGAAAATTTCAAAAATTCAAGAGCAGCAGCAGTGGAACAACTTAAAGTTTGTGCAGCCAATTTAACCTTCACTATATTTTGCTTATAATTAATGTGCGCATTACTGAGTTTATTCGCTAATTTTAAATTTACATTATTTTGAAGAAGATGAAGATTTGTAATATGTTGCCACTGAATTAATCCGTAATGTAAGCTAATCATTTTTAGATCTCCTAACGCATTTCGTGCAAGTTTTACGTTATGACAAGCATCAGATACAAAGTATACGTCATAATCGGACTTGGATGTTTGAACGAGTATTTCAATTTTGAATAATCATCGACATATAAGTCACAACCTAATAAATTCATTGTTGAATAATTTACATAAGCTCCATCACAAGTTATGCTCCATACCTTAATGCCTGATTGTTGAGATAAGATTAACGCAGTTTTTATTAACTTGACTTGTATTGATGTTGATATTTTATTAATAAAAAAATACGCAATAGGCCATTTCCATTTTCCGGTCAAAGAAACAAGCATAAACACTAATACTTCTGTTGCAGGCGTTTCTGAATCTTCCATTATAGTATTATTGCCGTATTCACACATTCCAATGAATTTTTTTTTCGATTTGTTCCATATCAGTTTCCGCATTGCCATCGAATCGATGACCAGATTGCAGTTTCGTAAGTGTAGTGGAAATTTCGAAATTTCTTCAAAAACATTGCTTAAAAATCCTGGTTCTGCGTTAATTGAAGACAATTTCACTGTAAAAACAAGTGTATTACTTTAACACATTTTATTGTAGTCACTTTTAACACGTCTGTAGGTCTGCAAAAACGTGTAAGATATAACACACTTTTCATGTGTAATGATTATTACATACGAAAAGTGTGTGACACTCTACACGTTTCTTGCAAATCTACACACCTACAGACGTGTTAAAAGTGACTACAATAAAATGTGTTAAAGTAACACACTTGTTTTTACAGTGTTCTCATGCTACTGTTACATCCGGGAGGACTCCACGATTTCCTCGTTTCGAGATCACTTAATAGGGTGATCGTTGAGACAGGACGCGAGAAAAAATGCGAGAGTTAACGGTCACCGATCGGCGAGCATGACAATATATAGAAAATGTGTCGTTGAAAGTCTTCCCAACGATTTTGGAAAGATAACAAAAACATAGATACCCAGGATCACCCGATCCGCGGTATTAAAATTTATGACAGATTACAAACCATGTCGAGAAAGTTCGGTTTAAACTCGTTCAGTTTCAATAAGTAATATCTAAAAACAGATCGGGAATCCTGAGTAAATAGAAAGTCGCATTCCCAAACGAATGTAACGTGTTGAAGGGCGTTTTTTCGTTAACAACGGGAAGTAGTAGAATAGAAATAGCTTGACAAGAATAGATTTTAATTTTTTCCCGACGATCATAAAATTCTGAAGAAATACTGTCTAGACGAGAAGACGCACGTTCAAGTACTTAATAAAAGAGAAATCGAAAATAAGAAAAAAAGGGGGAATGCGAGTTTTCAAATTGTCGTGGTCGGTCGTTCGGAAGAGACGATGAATGAAATATCCTTCTCTTCAGAGAGAATACCAAAAACTAAACTCGCCAATGGGTGACCGTGGATCTGAAAATCTAGAGAAGGTGATGACATATCACCAATAAGTTCTCAAGGATAAATTCTCATTGAAACTTGCAGTGCGGGCGGAGCAAATTTTGAAAGTAGTTCACCAGTAGGAATATGAAACAAATTTCCTACAAAAGCAGAAAAATCCCTCCAACTCGAATCCTCGATTTTTCCCACTCAATATGTCTCATTAGAGAACCACCCTCTTAAACTCTCTATATATACCGTGACACTGCGAGACTCGCTCTCTTTATTTTTTGATCTTACTCTGTGTCCGGTCCTCAAGCAGTCCGTCAGGGCCTGCGCACAATAGGGGAATAGGAATAAATATTAGATATTAGGAATAGGAATTAGGAATTATTTTATTTTAAAACCAATGGATTAAATGGATCAATGCACAATGAAGGAATTAGGAATAAAAAGGATGAAATATTAGATATAAGATATAAATTTAATAGTCGTAAACATGGCCGACCATAGGTACACGAATTCCGTAATTACAGAAAATAATTCTGATATTCAATACGGTCAAAATGACGTTGAAAATGAAAATGTAGGTGAATTTAAAGAAGGAGATGCGTTATTAATTGACTTAATAAGATCGTACCCACATTTATGGAACAAAGAAGATAAAGATTACAAAGATATAAATAAATGTGATAATTCTTGGCAAGAAATAGCTACTGTAATGAATCTACCTGGTAAACATCTTTTTATTAAAAAAATAAATATTTGTATATGTTAAAATAAAATAATATAATATATTATATTATTTAAAATAAAATATTGCTTGCTTTGACCGTTTACATTATATTAAAATATGAGAATTTTTAATGCATTAGAGGTTATAATTTGTGTTATACACGCTGTTAAGTAATATATATTTATATATTATATAATATATCTACACTTTTTAGTAAAGGAATGTATAAGCCGATGGTGTATATTACGACAGTATTATTCAAAGGAAAAACAAAGCCAAGAAAATATACCAAGTGGTTCTGCACATAGAAATAAGAGACCATGGGAATTATATGAGCAAATGTCATTTATAGACAAGCATATACACAAAAGAAGGTAATATTCCTTTTTTTGCTAAAATTGTAAATTATTTGCTATAAACTTGTTAATAGTTTTATTTTGATTGATATGTGAGTTGATATTTCCAAAATTTGCCAATTTCATAAATCCATATTTTACCCTTTTTATACAAGAAAAACAGAACTTGATTAAGAGATAATATAGATGCTTTTCAACAATGTATGTACAAAGCAACACTAACAAAAGAATGTACAATCCGGTACTTCCCAACTATGACACAAGTCGACACAATCGTAACAGAGTTTATTAATAGCTGAGTTCAACTTGTATCAATTGGAAAGCACTGGATCGTACACTGTCACATAGTGTTGCTTGTGACATTACTGAAAAGTATTCAGTGTACAACTAAAAATATTAAAATATTCATGTAACTAACTATTATCATTAGATTTAGCTATTTTTAAAAATAGGCAACTCATTTTTTTTTCAAATTACTATATTATTATAGTACTTAATATTATTACAGTATTTATAATAATATTAATATAAATATTATTATATTTAAGTTACTATATTATTATATCATCATTATCATTATTATTATTTTAGACGAAGATATACCAACATCAACAGAACTGGAAATGAACCCTCACAGTTAAATGTAAGTCAATCAGAAACACGCAATAAATATTTAATTTTAAACATGACAAATGAGAATAATGTTAAACAAGTTCGAAAATTAATAATATATTATAAACTGGCAAGTCTCTAATAAGTTAAATTTAATCTGTAAATCAAATTTAAATTTGCTACATATAAGTTTATTTATCTTTAATATTGTTGGTTTTATGTAATATGTAAAGACTGCAGAAAAAGATCGTGGACAAAGATCGCCTCTAAGTGATATAACCAATACGGTAATGATACAATTTTATGAACTGAAAATATTTCTATTAATTTTTAAATATTTAGATATTAATTTTGATTTTTAATTTATTACACCAAGGATGATCTGCAAACTGATTCACTTATGTTTACGATGCCGACATCACCCACAGGATCTGATTCAGCAAATATTCTTATATTCCCTACAAGTTCTCAATCTACACCATCATCATCTCAACAATCAACATTTCAGAAAAATAAGAAATCTGAAGAATCGCCTGATGGGCTAGAAAAATCACTTAGTTTGGTATCTCAATCTGTATCTGCAATGGCAGCTCGAATGTTTTCAAATGATAATGTAAATGATAGAGATGAAGCTTCAACAAATATGATTTTAGCCGAATTACGAAATACTAATGAACCACAAAAATCAGAACTAAGAAGGAAGTTAATAAATATTATCATGGATCATACGATAAACTAAATATTTTATATGATATTTATCATTATCATTTACAAATATTATTAAAATTCATATATTATTTGCGTACATAGATGTTATAAAACTATATGAAACAGTATTATTATCAGATTAAAAAAGCATATATTTTATTTGCATTACATAGGTACATACATATATTATTATGAAACAGTATTATCGTTAGATGAAGTATGCATTTTATTTGCATTAACCAGACATAATCATTTTTATGAAACTATTATTGTCAGATAAAGAATATATTTTATTTGCGTTACATAAACATATTGTTATGAAACAATATTATCGTAAGATGAAACATTTTATTTGCGTTACATAGATATAACATTGTTACGAAACAGTATTATCGTTAGATAAAGCATATATTTGTGTTACATATATTTTATTATTTATCTGTTCATTGAAGATTGTATTACGATGTAATTAAACAACAAATACCCTAATTATTAATAAACGCTGTTCTGGAATTGATAGCTTTCTTAAACTAGTTTTCATTATTTAATACTTATTCTTGTTGTCTCTCTTTAGAATTGCTTATTTTATTGATTATCTTATTTTAATTACATCTGATATAATTTTTAATGAACAAATAAGTTGTATGCAAAAGTATTATTGTCAAATAAAGTTCAAATTAAAATATTTTTTTGCGTTACATATCATAATATTAGTAAGAAAAATAATATTAATAAAGCTTATATATATGTGCTTATATATTAATACACAATATTTTTATGTAAAAAGATGTGATTTTAATAAATAAAAAATAATGTAATGTAATTTTAATGATTGTCTCTATACGTTCCCCTAGAAATATAATCGTATTGCCACGATACTTCACCATGTGGGCTATTCATCCAAGTAGCTAAATTATCACGTTGTCTATTAGCCTCAATAGTAGCTCGATGAGCAACAGTAGCTGCTAAAGATAACATACGATTGTATGCAGTTTGATCTTCCATATTTTCTTCATTATCTTCAAAATTAGTATATTGCCTTGGTAAGTATCTCCTATTTGCTAGTAGTAGTTCAGATTCCATAGATATTATAAAATTGTGGAGACATACACAAGCCGCAACTACTTTTTCAACTTATCAACATTCATTCTTATACGTTTTGAAAGTATTCTCCACCGTGAAACTAAAATTCCAAATGCACGTTCAATCATGCATCTGGCACGTGACAATCTATAATTGTATATCTTTTTTACTTTGGTAAGATATTTTTGAGGAAAAGGTTTCATTAAATGACGAGACAGTTCAAAAGCATTATCACCTACAAAATAATATGCTGTTTTTATATTAGTATTAGGAAGGAAAGCATAATCTAGTGGTAAATGCAAGGTATTATGTTTTATGCCTTGACCTATTTCTGATCTACTAAAAATTCCACCATCACTTTCACTTCCATAAGCTCCAATATCTACCAGTGTAAATTTATATTCGTGGTCACACGCAGCCAAGAGAACAATGCTAAATGTCTTTTTATAATTAAAATACAATGATCCGGAATTAGGGGGTGCTTGAATTAAAATGTGTTTGCTGTCTATAGCTCCTACGCAGTTAGGCATGTTCCAAGTATCATTGAATCCTTTGGAAATATGGAACCAATCATTTTGTTCAGGTTGTTGTAGATAAATGGGTGACAATACATCAATGAGAACTGAGCAAGTTTCAATAATTATTGCACGAACTGTTGATTCACCCACACGGTAATGTAACGCAATAGATTGTATGGATTCTTCCCCAGCTAGGTACCTAACAGAAATGATTAAATATACAGGGTGTCAATTATGTACCGGGACGGTCAAATATTTCGACAACTTCCAACATTAAAAAAAAACGCTGAAACACGTGAAACGATTTTTCAAA